GCCCTTTATCAACACTCTTATTCAGCATTGTGCTGGAGGTCCTAGCCAGAGCAATTAGGCTAGAAAAAGAAATAAAGGGCATCCAAATTGGTAGGGAAGAAGTAAAAATATCTCTATTTGCAGATGATATGATCTTATACACTGAAAACCCCAAAGAATCCACAAGAAAACTACTGGAACTAAGAGAAGATTTCAGCAAAGTATCAGGATACAAGATAAACATAACAAAAATCAGTTGGATTCCTCTACACCAACAAAGAGGACTTCCAAGAGGAAATCACCAAATCAATGCCATTTACAATAGCCCCCAAGAAGATCAAATATTTAGGGATAAGTCTAACCAAAGACATAAAAGACCTATACAATGAAAACTAGAAGACACAACTGCAAGAAACCAAAAGAGACCTGTGTAAGTGGAAAAACATACCTTGCTCATTGATAGGAAGACTCAACATTGTGAAAATGTCAGTTCTACCCAAAGCGATCTACAGAGACAGTGCAATCCCGATCCAAATTCCAACGGCATTTTTTAATGAGATGGAGAAACAAATCACCAGCTTCATGTGGAAAGGGAAGAGGCCCCGAATAAGTAAAGCATTACTCAAGAAGAAGAGCAAAGTGGGAGGCCTCACACTACCAGCAATGGAGCAGAATTGAGAATCCAGACATAAATTTATCCACCTATGAGCAGCTGATATTTGACAAGCCCAAAGTCTGATAATTGGGGAAAAGTCTCTTTAACAAATGGTGCTGGCATAACTGGGTATCCATCTGCAGAAAACTGAAACAAGACCCATACCTCACACCAGGCACAAAAACTAACTCAAAATGGATCAAAGACTTAAATATAAAATCAAAAACGATAAAGATCACGGAAGAAAAAAATAGGGACAGTTCTAGAAGCCCTAATACATGGCATAAACACAGTACGAACCATAAGTAACAATGCACAAGCACCAGAAAAGAGACTAGATAACTGGGAGCTCCTAAAGATCAAACGCTTACGCTCATCAAAAGACTTGACCAAAAGAGTAAAAAGACAACCTACAGACTGGGAAAAAACTTTTGGCTACAACCAACCTGATCAGCGTCTAAACTCTAAAATCTGCAAGATACTGCAAAACCTCAACAACAAAAAGACAAATAACCCAATTAAAAAATGGGCAAAGGATATGAACAGGCACTTTGCCAAGAAGATATTCAGGTAGCTAACAGACACATGAAGAAATGCTCAGGATCATTAGCCATTAAAGAAATGCAGATCAAAACTACAGTGAGATATCATCTCACCCCAACGAGGCTAACATTAATCAAAAAAACACAAAATATTAAATGCTGGAGAGGTTGTGGAGAGACTGAAACACTTATACACTGTTGGTGGAAATGTAAAATGGTACAACCACTTTTGAAATCGATTTGGTGCTTCCTTAAAAAGCTAGAAATAGAAATACCATACGATCCAGCTATCCCGCTCCTTGGAATATATCCTAGTGAAATAAGAGCCTTCACATGAGTAGATATATGCACACCCATGTTCACTGCAGCACTGTTCACAATAGCAAAAATATGGAAACAACCTAGGTGCCCATCAGCGGACGAATGGATAAACAAATTATGGTGTATCCACACAATGGAATATGCACAATGATAAAGAACAACAATGAAGCCATGAAACGTCTTATAACATAGAGGAATCTGGAGGGCATTTAGTCAGTCAGAGAAGGAAAAATATTGTATAAGACAACTATTATAAGAACTCAAGAAAAGGTTTAAACACAGAAGAAAAGATTCTTTGATGGTTAGGAGGGTGGGGAGGGAAGCTGAGGGTTATTTACTAAGTAGATAGTAGATAAGAATTAGGTGAGGGGAAGCACAGGACACACTACAGGGAAGTCAGCACAACTGGACTAAACCAAAGCTAAGAAGTTTCCTCAATACAGTCAAACACTTGGACAGAGTAGCAGCGGTAGGGTCTGGGGACCATGCTTTCAGGGGACATCTAGGTCAACTGGCGTAACAAAGCTTATTAAGAAAATGTTCTGCATCCTACTTGGGTGAGTGGTATCTGAGGTCTTAAAAGCTTGCAAGCAGCCATCTAAGATGCATCAATTGGTCCCAACCACCTGGAGGAAAGGAGAATGAAGAACACCAAAGACACAAGGAAAGTATTAGCCCAGGAGACAGAAAGGGCCACATAAACCAGAGACTTCATTAGCCTGAGACCAGAAGAGCTAGATGGTGCTTGACTACCACCAATGACCACCCTGACAGGGAACACAACAGAGCATCCCTGATGGAGCAGGAGAAAGGTGGGTTGCAGAACTCAAATTCTGGTAGAAAACCAGACTTAATGGTCTGACTGAGACTGGAGGAACCCCGGAAAGTATGGTCCCTGGATTCTTTATCAGCCCAGAACTAAAACAATTTCCGAGGCTTACTCTTCGGACAGGGATTGGAAATGGACTGTGGGACATAAAGTGATACTTGTGAGGAGTGTGCCTGTTAGCTCAAGTAGATACAGGAGACTAAATGGGCAGCTTCTGTCTCGAAGTGAGATGGGAAGGCAGAGAAGGTTACGAGTTGGTTGAATGGTCATGGGGATTCGGGGTGGAAAGGAGGAGTGTGCTGTCACAGTATGGGGAGAGCAATTAGGGTCACATAACAAGGTATGTATAAATTTTAGTATGGGAAAAAAAATTTTAAAAAAACTCTTCTCCCTAGGAAGTGGAGAGGTGACCAGTGGTTTAAAAGTATTTGAAGCTGGTCTATTGTTATAGAGTATTTGTATAATGTTCTTCATAAATTTTGGTTGCAGTATTCTTTGAAAATATATTCACGATAAAATCTTTTCCTGCAGATTGTTTTTCAGCAAGGGACAACGAAGCTCAGTGTAGAAAAGAACAAAACCTCCATTACTAGTGACATTGGTATGCAGTTTTTCGACCCAAGGACTCAAAATATTTTATTCAGCACAGACTATGAAACTCATGAGTTTCAACTGCCGAGTGGAGTAAAAAGTTTGAATGTTCAAAAAGCATCTACTGAAAGGGTATGATTTATTTTCTTTGCCTTTTCTTGGAATATTAATGTTAGAGAGTTATTGTCCAAAGTTGTACATTGCGAGGGAAATTTTATTGTTAGAGTGATGTGAAAGAACATATTCCAGAATAGTGGAAAGGATTAGTTCCGTATCTGTCCTTAACTAGATTCTGTGATTATCATCAAGCTGTTTCTCTTTGTCTCTATTTCCACAGCTATAAAATATAAATAAGAAACACTTGCCTTCCATATCTCATAGTTGAAACTCTTATTTCTCCATCTCTGATAATAATTCTCATATTAATTTTGAAACTCAGCACTTTTTTTTTAATATTTCAGATTACCAGCAATGCTACTAGTGATTTAAATATAAAAGTTGATGGACGTGCTATTGTGCGTGGAAATGAAGGAGTATTCATTATGGGCAAAACCATTGAATTTCATATGGGTGGTAATATGGAATTAAAGGCTGTGAGTATATATATAGTTTAAGAGAATTTAATATGTGTATTAATAATAATAATAAATCATAGATATATAAATCTACACAGTGCAATAGTATGCTATTATTAAAATGATAGTTGCATATTTTTTGACATAGAAAGAAGCTCATAATAGATTAAGTGAAAGAAAGTTATGAAATAATTTGTGAAATATCTCATTTTTATTTTCAAAACATGTATGTTTATAAAAACATTGAAGAGTATGCCAGATGTTAACACTAGTTAGCTATGGCTAGTAGGATAACAGATTATTTTAATTTTATTTTTATTTCTGCTTGCCAGTATTTTCTCATTTTTTCCTGTAATGATCACATGTATAATTTTAAAAGGGAAAAGAATCCATCTAGAACAGAATTCTGAAAGATCAAAGTTAAGTATCTATGCCCTGAAGGTTTTTTTTCTTTTTATTGAAGATTTTTCATATTCCTTCTTGGATTTCATATCCAGTGTTATGAAAAAAAATAATTAGCAAATGTATAACATGTACTTTTATTTATACTTCTGTTATTAATTGTAAAGGAAAAAGGTTTTGCCTTTATTTTGGCTGTTAAGAAGTGAACATTTTTTTGTGCTTCAGGGATTATATTTGAACCTTAATGAGTATCATATTTCATATAAAGGAGCCACAAATCTCAAATACTTTTTATCTGTTTACAATTCTGATCAAAGCATAATTATTCAAAATACATTTTGGGCACCTGTGGTACAAAGGGTTTGCACTCAGCTGCTAATTTAAAGATTGGTGAATCAAACTCACCCAGTTGTAATGCGGAAGAAAAGGTCTGGTGATCTGCTTCCATTAAGATTACAGCCAAGGAAACGCTATGGAGCAGTTCTACTCTGTAATAACACGTGGGATCGCCATGAGTTGGAATTGACATGACAGCAACTAACAACAACACTATGTGCTATTAACTAAAGCTAACTAAATTTGTCTTACCAAGCATTAAATGACAAAAATGAACTTAATAAGGGCTTATAAATAGTCCTTTTCCTTTTTGAAAAACTTAATTTCATGATTTTTAGAAAAATAAGCTTTAAAAATTAAGTAATTCCTTCATTTTCATGAACAGCTTTTCCCCTAAAGTATAAATTCCCATCTCTCAATGAGAAAGATGAACATGAAGTATGATTCTTATAGAAACTCAGTAGCAGTGCGGGATAAATTTTGCATGTATTGCGTTAAGAAGCCATTCCTCTGAGAGAGTAATGTTGAAGAATGGCCACAGTGGGCTCTTGTCCTCAGCACCAGGAAGTCAAAGAAGCAAGAGATGTGAGTGATTTGTGCAGAGACCATTAGCAAGTTACCTAAACTTTTTTTTTCTACCTGAAATTTTTGGACTAATAATTCTTGCCCCTTCCTACCTTGTTAATATAACAAATATTAGAATACTTTAAAACACACATGCACGCTTAACAGTTTCTCCGTAGTTGAATTTTCAGTATTGAAAAAATAATTTGTTTTATAATTCAGTTAATATCAGTGGTTAATTTTAAAGTATATAAGCTAATTATTAGAAGAATTATATTAATTAAACTGCTTTTAAAAGATGAACTGCTTTAAGATACATTTTGAAGAGAGTAAGATTAAGTAATCACAAGATGGCAACATATGAACAAAATTTGAACATCAGTCTCCCAAGAATTAGGTTTATTCCAGATGCTACCACTATATAATCAATCAGCTGTTTTTATTACTTTATAACCAGCTTTCTCTCTTTGCTTTAAATGCCATCTATAAGCTCATGACTTCCAAATTTGTAACTCCTGCTCTGACCTCTCATCTGAGCAAAGCCTCACATTTCCAACTGCCTACCAACCTTCTCCCCTTGAATATCTAATAGACATCTCAAATATAACAAGTCTAAAATCAGACTCTTAATATTCACCACCTCCTGCCCACCTGCATTTCTTTCAGTCTTCCCATCTTGTTAGAGTAATACCCTACCAGTCCATCACAAAGCCTTCTGTCTCTGCCTTCAGATGATGTAGAGCCTGGCTGCTTCTACACCTCCACCGCCGCCGCCATGGTGTAAACCACCGTCATTTCCTGCCTGGACTGTTGGAACAGCCTCCCAACTGGTCTCCCTGCTTCCATTGTTTCACCCCTGTAACCGTTTCTCCTCACATCTGCCAAAGTGATTCTTTTTAAAAGTTCATGTCACTTCTCTATTTAAAGCCCTTCAAATGGTTTCCCAATGAATTTGAAACAAAGTCCAAAGCCCTTTCCCTGGTCATAGCACTCTGGCCCCTGGTTATTTCTTTGACGCATCTCCTACCAGTGGTCCCCGTCACTAACTCTGCTTCAGCTGTACTGGCCTCTCAGCTGTTCCTAGAACTCCAAGCACATCTTCACCTTGGGGCCTTTGCATGTCTTATTTTGTCTGCGTGGAGTGCTCTTCCCAATTACCTACATGGCTTACTCCCTCACTTCATCCGGGTTTCTCTTTGAGTATTACATTACCAGAAGGCCTTCCCTGACTACCCTATGTAAAATAGAACCCTCATCTGGTCACACTGTCTCTACTTACCCTGCTCTATGTTTCCTTACAGCATTTATCCCATCTGATGTCCTGTATGTCTCATTCACTTGTTTATTTTCTGCCCCCATCCCATTAAGGGAGCCCTGGGGGCACAGTAGTTAAGAATTCGGCTGCTAACCAAAAAGGTTGGCAGTTCCAATCCACCAGCTGCTCCTTGGAAACCCTATGGAGCAGTTCTGCTCTGTCCTGTAGGGTCGCTATGAGTTGGAATCGACTTGACGTCAACAGGTTAACCCCATTAAGATGACAACTTGATGAGAACATGGACTTTACCTGTTTTGTTTACTGCTGTGTCCCAGCAACTAGAATAGTGCCTAACACAGTAGGCACTTAATAATTATTTGTTGAATGAATGTAAGGTAGAAAGAAAGAGAGGAAAGGAGGGAGAAAGAGGTTTTGTTGTTGCTATCTGCTGTCACGTCAGCCCCCGACTCATGGTGACCCCATGCACAACCAAATAAGACACTGCCTGGTCCTGTGCCATTTCCATGATCAGTTGTGGATTGGACCAGAGAGAGGTTTAGGGGTCTCTGAAAAGAAAGAGTTTTATGGACCTACACTACAAGAATGTTCCTGGAGCTATAGGCTTGAAGAAGAGAACCTCTAGGCAGTTTCCTTTGGGTGCCTGGTCTTCAAAATTATATGGTTTGGAGTCTTTTCATTTATGGTAGGGCAAAATCATTGAAAATTAAAATTAATTCTTTCTAGGAGGAAAACTTTTTTTTATAATCATCAGGAACTTGTTAATTAGTAATTTTGTGTATTGATGTGCTTAGGAGTTAACAAATGAAAATGATCTGAGACTTTATTGAAATGAGTTATACACTTAGGAATTTTGAGTCATTTTAACTAATAATTGAGAAATAAATTGTGTTGCAAGTTTTTTGACATACATTATGGCCTAAATAAGCTAGGAGGTCACTAGTTGAATCTTGATGTTGGGTTTTTTTTTTTTTTTTTGGTCATGACTTTACTCTCTTACTGCATTATTTTCTTATTAATTTTCCAGCAAGTTTTATTTATTAACCTTTGTTCTGTCCCTACTCATGGAGGTAAATAAATCATAGTATTATTCTCCTAACAGGAAAACAGCATCATCCTAAATGGAACTGTGATGGTCAGCACAACTCGCCTGCCCAGCTCCTTCACTGGAGACCAGTTCAGTAATGGTGACTGGGTGCGCTACAAGCTCTGTATGTGTGCTGACGGGACTCTCTTCAAAGTACAAGTTACAAGCCAGAACATGGGCTGCCAAATCTCAGACAATCCCTGTGGAAACACTCATTAGAACCCTGGAGGTCATCAATATGTTCATATCTTGACTCAGTTTTTTTTTAAGAGTATGCATGCAAGTCATTGTTCTTTCAGAGTTTGTGATAACTCATTGTAATTATTTTATCTGCAGAACACTATTATGTTATCTCCATATTTAAAATATTCTGAGAGCCTAAATTCTAATACATTTTATTAAGCTGCATTGATCTTTAAATTAGTTCTCTAAAATAATTATGAGAAATGAGTTAAAAAAAAAAAAAAAAAGGAAAATCATTTAAAGAGGTGTTTTTAAAATTCCACTACTCTTTGCCTAAAGATTACAGGGCTGAGCAACTGTTTAGACTCACTGTAACTAAGCTCTTGGTAGCTCTAATGGATATGGACTCACTTAAGATGTTTAAAAGGTACACTGTCAATAAGTGTTACATGCTGTCTTTTGACTTCTAAGAGGAAAACAGATTTTTAGTGCATTAACTTTGAACCATATTCTCGTACACACATGTAAAGTCGTTACATAACTTTACATATGTGAGGTAGTAAGAAGTTGGTTCCTTAGCTTTGCACTAGGAAGAAAATATAATAGATTGTTTACTTGAAATAATGATAACTATTAAGTGTTCACAACGTGGTAGACATTAAAACACAACCTCAGCTTTAACTTTTAAATAATAATGATAGCTGTCCTTGCATCCTAGGCATTGTCCTAGGCAGTGCGTGTTTAATATCTCTAATTCTCACCACAACTCTGTATTATTATCCCAGTTTTACCCATTAGGAAACTGAGGATCAGAGATGTTAAGAAACTTGCCTAAGGTCCCATAGTAAGTGGCAGAGTTGGAATTGGAATCCAGGTGTGATTCAAACCTAGCGTATCTGATTCCAGATACCTTGTTCTTTACACTATCTGCACTGAATTTTTAATTATTTAAAACTCTAGAAAGATGAACAAAAACTAATTCAGACTTACCTAAGTAGATAAGAATAAAACAAGTGTGCTTACTCAAGTTAAAAGAAATAAATCTCATGGCAGGCACAGAATGACCTATCACTGTCAGATTTTAAACTGTCTTAAGCCAATTCCAAAATATTATACTATACAGAGGTCAAATTGGCCTAGTTGTGGGTTACCCCAATTTCCTAGCTGATAGGTCTTGGCACACTGGAGTACCTGAATGGGTAATGGGTATGCTATTTATACCCTCAGCCCTTGGGGTACCACAAGGGGAAGTGGGGAGACCACAGGTGCTGGGCACATCCTGCTGGCCAGGAGTGGCCTGGTGTATTTAGTCCATTGTGCCATACAAATATTAACCACGCCTTGAAAAAGTAGGGAAGCACTGGACTAAAAGGTGCTATTGCAGGAGATAAAACAAGTAATTTTTAAGTATGGAAATTTATCTCTGCTCCTAATATCACCATCCCATTGTACTTATTTACAACCCTCCACCCAGTGGAGTTTTAATGTCTTTTATATTTGATTTGAGAGAAACTCTGGTATTTATTATTAACACACACACATCCTCAGACACGGGGACCCTAAAGTAGTTTGCTGTGAAATGGCAGTAGAAATAAATCATAGGCCCCATCCTGCATTCATGTACAGCAATATTCTGTCATGGTCACTTTGAACTGTGTAGATAAGAAAAATCAATACAAAAAACTATTGGAATTCAATACTGTTACAGTTCTCTCTGATAGAAAAACCAAATACCTTAGAGATTATGAAGAGTCATTAAATTATACTTAAGTAAGGATTGTTTTCCCACCTCATACTAAGAGTGTAGTTTTTAAATGAAAAAAAAAGAGTGAGATTTGTGACCTCTGAGTGTTATTAGTTGTAATGATATTGAGAACCCATTTGAATATATTCACTATCATTAAGTATCTGAATGATATTCAGAACCAGCCCCTTGGAATTTTCATTTAGATGTTCAGTATCTTTTTAAATTGTACATTCATTACTTGTCTGTGCTGTGTAGATTTGTTTTGAAAGTTTCTTTAAATAAATATTTTTGCAAAAACCACAGAACACTATATTACAAGGTATTATTTATTGAATGTAATTCATAAAATAGTCTGTTTTTACTCCTCTTTGGCACGTACTTGGGTTTTTGATACTTTTCCATTAAGTACTTTTGACACGAGAGGATATTTTGATGCTTTTATAGAGTTGATTATTAAGGTGACAGGTGATATCATTTTAGAACACCTAACAGGCAGTGCTAGCTTTTTCACTGCAATGTAGTCCTGGAAAATACACTGGAAAGCAGAACAAGAACAAACCGTCCATTTTACCTGTGACCTATTTTGATCAACAAAGCTTCAGTTACTCATTCTTGTCACCAGATGGTGCTTTTCTCCAAACTGAACCCCTAACTTTGGCTCTTCCTGCTGGATGTTCGTCTCTTCAGTGACTATTGAAAGGACAAGCAGCTGACTTAGGGTAGGTGTATGATGAAGACAGGTTCCCAGGAGGGAGCAGACACATGCTTGTTGAAATAGTTGCAGTATTTTAGAGATGGATTGCAATGACAAGAGAGACAAATGAAAGAAATGCAAGATATTTTTAGACTGTCTAATGAGCAGATAGGAAAAATGCAAAACAACATGTGGGAGCTCCCTGTACATGGTCTGCAATATTTAAACATCTTTGTATTCTTTTTGCATTATTGAAAAACAAAGTTTATGTGACAGTTTTGATGATGACAAGTAGACGTTCTACCTAGTGTTTTTTAAGAGGGTGAGAATGACCACTGAAATGCTGATAATTTTAGTAATCTTTTTTAAAAAGTGTTGAGAGGGGAAAAGATTACAAATTATGCTGTACAAAAATAAACCTGTAAATCTGTTTCAGATTGCTCACTTGAGTTTCGGTTAATTCAATTTGTAACAACTATTAATGACCTCTGTTTAAAATAAAGAGTCTGCCAATTGTTTTTTGTTAATTTTTTTAATGGTGTAACAGGATTCTACTTAACCGTGCAAAACTGATGAATTTAAATATGACTTGAGAATGGGATATCGTCAGCGCTTATAGAACCTTTCTGGAAGCCTAGAAAAGTCAGAAGGTTGAACACTCCTAGGCTGGATAGTCCCACTCTGTGCATTGCAGAAGGCCTCTCTGCTGTGTCCCTGGGGAATGTGCACACTGTGACCTTGGCAAGTGCCAAGCCTGGGGATGAAAGGGTGAGGGGTTGCCACAGGATGGGCTCAGTGGGAGGATGGGTGGAGCCTCGAAGGCTCAGGTCTAAAATCCCCACCTGGCTTGAGCCAGAAATAGACCTTTGAAAACTACCTATGGATCTTAAGGTATGCCTTTGAAACAGTGTTACTATTGTGTTCTTTCTGCATCTTTAGTCATCACCAAAAATAGCCTCTTTTGCTTTTTTTCTTAATTGTTCTGTCAACTCCTTTTTTGTTTTGTTTTGCATAAGACTGGACTCATTTCCTTTCTGCTTTCTTGGTGTGTGTGTTGTTTACTGCCTTCTCCCTCTCTCTTTCACTCTGACATATACACGCACACAATATTTCTAACTTCTTCCTCATATTTCAGCCTGAATATGTATATTCAATGATTTACATTTTACCCAATTGTTTCCAATTTCCTGAGGAACTTTTTCTGGAGTTTGTCAGTGATTTCATACCTCATATGTATGTTTGTATATAGTATATATAATTTTTTTACACATTAACGCCTTTTGCTTTAAGACATAAGATTATTCTTACCTAGTGTATAAATCTCTTCAACTTAAAAAAGAACCAGGTCAATGAAAAATTTTAATTTGTGTCCCCTTAAGAAAAAGCATTTTTCAACCACACCTTTCTCTTCAATACTGCAAAGTAATGTGCCTATGAATGGTGACTATTCTTTTGTTGTTGATGTTACGTTAGCTTGGTGTACAATTGTGTATATATAATGATTGCAGCTTTGAATATGGAAACATACCTTTCTGACTGTGCAGATTAATTCAGTTTCTAGTATTGCATGAGAGGCATACTATAAAAATAAAACACTCCTCCATGTTGCAGGGCACTTTTGCAGTTCATATCCACGTGTACCTGAGTTCAGATGCCTTTCAAGTTATGGGAGAACTGACGTTGTATGAGACAAAAGTTAACACGTTAAATGGTAACATTTCATTTACTCCCATTTCATTAAAACAAACACCCGGTGACAGACCATAGACCATTAAAAATATAAAACATGGAAAACATGGCCCTTACCTCCGAGAGCTTATAGTCTTATTGGGAATTCAAAACAGATACAAAGCAAAACAATAGCAATGCACGATAGTATATTCTGTCAAACTGAATGTTACTAACAAGCATTCATTCAACTAATATACTGAAAGATTTCTGGAAACAAAGACAAAACACACTAATGCAGGTAAAAAGGTCCTGAGGTCATAGGATTTGAGATGGACTGCAAAACACGTTGGATTTGGACTAAAGGAAGAGGCATTGAGCTTGGAATTGGGAATGAACTAAAAGTTAATTCTAGCATGAGATAAATATGTGTAGTTTCTTTACACGAGGCAGTGCCTTGCAGTTGCTCCACACAAGCTTATCAAATAATGTTACTGGATAACACAAGGCCTTGAATGCCAACTTGAGGGATTTTGACTATAGGCAATAAGGAATCCTTTGAGGTTTTTCAATTAGGGAACAAAATGAGGAAAACAATATTATGGAAAAATGATGCTTTGGAATCATCTAGGATGGATTAAGAATAAGGAAAGTCAAGGGGCAGAGGCAGGAAAATCAGTTAAGCTGTTTTAGTACTTCAGGCTGTCGTGATGAGAATTAGGAAGGTTGCCACTAGAACAGAAAAGAAGGGATGATTTGTAAACAAACATTCCATACTGAATAATGTGATTATTTGTGCACACGCTGGTTTTTATTGTTTTAGGTTTTATATTCAGGCCTTTGATCCGTTTTGAGTTATTTTTTGTGTATGATATGAGGTATGAGTCCTGTTTCTTTTTCTTTTTTTTTACAGATGGAGATTCAGTTTTGCCAGCACCATTTGTTAAAAAGACTATCTTTTCCCCATTTAATGGACTTTGGTCCTTTGTCAAAGATCAGCTGACTATAGGTGGATGGATTTACGTCTGGGTTCTCGATTCTGTTCCATTGGTCTATGTGTCTGTTGTACCAGTACCAGGCTGTTTTGACTACCGTGGCTGTATAGTAGATTCTGAGATCAGGTAGTGTGAGGCCACTTGCTTTGTTCTTTTTCTTCAGTAATGCTTTGCTTATCCAGG